CACTGCTTTGAGAGTAAAGTTAAGTTTTTTAGGCATGGGGATAATGAAATTTCAGTCCTGCAGAATTTCTACTAGTCTTTTTGGAAAAGGACATAGCATATAGAGCTTCACTCCTTTCCTTTGTTTGAGAAGTGGGTCATGTAATAAATCCCATATACAAATTCTACAGCAACATATTAAAGAGGTTTTAAAGACATTTTTTAAAGAAGGTGTTTAAAGGCGGTGTCTTCTCCATTGGGTCAGTACTGAGACGTGAGGCACAGCTTCAGAGCCAGCAGAGGGAGTGCCGACCCTGCTTGTGGGGCTAAGCACACAGCAGTCCTTACAAAACCCAGCCGGTTTCTCAGATTAGAGATACCTTCAGCTCAAAACCAGCCAGGGCCAGAATCCAGCATCCTACCTACAGCAAAATGAGCTCACAGTAAACCACAGTGTTTTGATTCACTGTTCCTTTGGAGGAATCTGGACGTGTACTAGTTAAAAGCATGCTTTCAGGTTTGAGAAGGTACGTGTTAGCAGTTCACATCACAAATGTAAGGTGCCTACCTTCCAGAGCAGCTCACATTCCCGCTCTTACCTTCTTATGCCTAGTAGTCACTACTTTTACTTCAGACTGTACCACCTTTGCTTTCATCTCAACCTGCTCTGCCACAGCCTGGGCCTGTTCAATACTCAGCTGGGAAATAAAAAAGAAACACTTAGAGCTCAAGAAAACCAATCAGAAATGCATCAGAAGAAGACAGACTGCTGTTTACATTGCACTACCCTGCAGGTGAAGGCATAAAGTGCCAACTCTTGCCTTTTTTACCAGGCCTTTGCCCATTTCATGTATCAGAGCCTAAAAACAAACAATTTTTTTTAATACAGCTATTACATGGAGCTTATACCTTCATTGTACCATGCACCAACACCACAGGACTAAACTCCCTGTGCAATTCCAGCAAGCAGCTAGTATGAACTCAATGACTTTTACAGAAATTTATACTCATGCTTTCCTACACAGAGAACCCAGTTGGTTTTGTCCCTCAAAATGGTTCAGGCTATTGACATGTGATGATTCTGCTTCTAAAAAAAAAAAAAAAAATGCTGTAGAGAACTGTTTTCTCTATGCATCTGTGCTGCACAGAAATACCCCTAAAAGAATGTGAAGTTAATCAATTTTAAAAGAACAACACAAAGATTAGATGGCTATCATTAAAAAGAACTCAGTCTTTCACACCTTGGACAGAGACCAATTCCTTCAAACCCTGTAATATTAGTATTTTAAAAACATTCCATAGTAGTATTTGTAGAGAACTGTTTTCTCTATGCATCTGTGCTGCACAGAAATACCCCTAAAAGAATGTGAAGTTAATCAATTTTAAAAGAACAACACAAAGATTAGATGGCTATCATTAAAAAGAACTCAGTCTTTCACACCTTGGACAGAGACCAATTCCTTCAAACCCTGTAATATTAGTATTTTAAAAACATTCCATAGTAGTATTCTGCAAATACACAGAATGCATCTGGAAGGAATATATCTCATTTCTCCCCTCATAGGAAAAACTGTTTCCTTGAAAAAATCCTTTCCAAACTGTTCCCAGTTTCACAAAACATTACAGAAAGAGCCATGGAAATAGCCATGGGTATTTGTTTTTAAATACAGCTTTTCAGACAGACTTTACACCACCTTTCTCCCACTCTGATACGAGGAGCCATTTCACAACATGAGCTGTTTCAGACTAGGTAGTTCAGAGAATGCTCTTGCAGAAAGCATCTTTGATCTTCAGAAATGCAGGCTTGAGAAAGCAGGCAAAAGGAATTTAAAAGCCGTAAAACAGCCTCAGTTTAATTCTGCATATGAGTATGTATCAAAGAACCACCTGATGCAATGATCTATGAACTACTCAATGTGATCCAGCATCATTAGAAAAATCGGACATAAGTTTTTAAGTCTGATCTGGCAAGTTCAGCAGCATCTAGATTATGCCAACAATGGGAATGCTAAACCTTAAACCCCAAAGTTCCCTGTTACTTGGATGTTTTCTTCCAGGTCATGTAGGAGTAAAGAACTAAAAGGAAAAGGAAGACTAACTGGGTCAGGTGATTAGCATGTGGAGACAAGATGCCGACAATCCTGAGAAAATAAGACAAGCCAATGTTTCTGATCTTAAATCCAAAGAATTCTCTTGCAAACTGGCAGAGAAAAATAGGAGTGCTACTTGAGAGCCCCTCTGCAGCACAAGGCTCAGTAAAAGGAGCGTGCCTTTCAGATGTTCCTCCTTCATGCAACTCCCAGGTCACTACATTTTAACATGGAATGTCTTCAAACTCATGGACAGCCTAAACATCCCAGTCCCACTGGAGGTGGACCTGACCTGCCTTCACACAAGGCTTCTGGCAGACAAATTTGACTCCACACTTCAAGTTGACAGAAAGTGAAAAATCTCATTAAAACAATTAGCAAAGCAGACATGAAGTCACAGCTGGCCACAGATTAAGGCTTCATAAAAGCCAAGAAGCCTCAGTCCTAGCTGGAAGAGTCCACACATAGGAATACTGCACACCTCTGTCACCTCTGCTTTGCCATTCAAATGCAGAACCAGCTCCTACTGCAGGGGAAAGGTATGTATTTCTTCCAAGACAGACCTGGATTCTTGTCAACTATAGCTAAACATCATCCTCCTCTTGCAAAGAGAAATAGGTACTCCTTGGGAAGTGTTAGGGAACCATGCTATCCACTTCTAGTAAGCATGTCTGTGAAAACAGGAAGGTCTTTATTTACTTGATTGAGCTGTTTGTACAGCACTACCCATTAGATAGCTAAGAGCAATCTCAGTTCTTCACTAAAACCACGGTTCACCTTTTAAGAACACCATCATTGCAGGAGAGGTATTATTTCCCTGTGGATGCTGTGATCTTTTAGCCGTAGGAACCAGCTATGGTAGGGTAAGTCACTACACTTAATAGCACAAGGTTGTCTACTAACATCTCCTGTCATCATCTGGATTTATTTTTACTTGCCCAAGACTGAACAGCTCAGGTCAGTGAAGGATGCCCAAAACACTAAGGCTCTAAATTGTTCAGGATATTGGTAAAGCTTTGGTAAAATTCACATGATCCTGCACTCTTCCAAAACAGGCAAGAACAGCCTAGGACGGCTGACCAGCATCAAAGGCACAGCAGCAGGCAGTGGTATGGTGGGGGGCACAGCGGTAGGCAAGTTATCTATCTGGAGCAAAAGCCAAGAGCTTTCAGTACAACTTTAGGGAGCCTTCTTTACATGGAAATCCCTTGTTCTCTTTGATTGCTGTAAGATATCACAGCTCCACCATGATAACTCTCTCCTGCTGTTCTGCAGGCATTTCCTGTGCAGAACTTGGCTCAGAGAGGTCAACTTTTTAAGAAACATGCTAAGCAGCAGCATTACTTGTCCTAGTCAGACACCACACACAAGCTTTTCAACAACAAATCTTTTTAAAGAAAAGCAGCTTTTACAATACACTCTCCTCATGGTGTGTCATCATCATTACAGTGAATGAGATAAGCAAGTTCACATGCTTGGGTAACAGAAGACAAGGCCTGTGTTCAGCAGAGAATTGGGTTACTGAATTTGAAGTGGAGAACAATTATTGTTTCCTAATGTTGGCCAGTACAGTAAAGTCGACTTTTGCAGCTGTACCTATTCATTTGTGACTTCTCAGGGGCCCACACCCCATTTTATTAGTGATGTCACCAGTATCTTGTGTTAAAAAACAAAAGATTTAGCAATACATTTTGTAAAGTTAAGGGTTGAAACCAGTGCTTCCAATTCCTCAGAGTAAAACTCGGGTAACAGCAGCATTGGTGCAGGTGGTATGTTCCAGAGGGCCACAACAAAAGGAAACCTTGCACCTAGAGCTTCCAGTGGGGCAGGTAGGCATGTTTTCCATGAAGGAAGGCAATGCAGACTTCCATCACTACCAGCTGCGACTAGCACATTTCAGAATTTCTCGCTCTTCTCTATATACATACCCAAGTAGCAACAAACAATGCTTGGAACACACACTTTAGCAGGAGAGGACAGTGACATTGCAGTATTGCCTGTATTTTCAGATTTCAAAGCTTTTAATGAGGGCTATTAAATAAGCACATCACAGTTTTTATTCTCTGGGCATTTTGTACAAACAGAAAAAGCTACTTTTTCTGTTTGTAGCTCTTCCTGTAATTCAGACAGCATTTTACATCTTACTAGATCTAGCTCTGCTTAAATCCACCTCTATGTAAAGTGTCACTAGCATCCTGAGTGCCAGTGCCTACACACAACATGCTAAGCCAAACACTCCTAGGGGAAAAATTAGTAATAGGCTTGCTCCAGTGGCTCTGACATAGCAACTGATGCTACAACACTAAACTATGAAGAAGCCACCTACCAGATCCAGCAGCAGCAAAGTAGTATCATAGAATGTGGCTGCACTTACAGATATCTGGGCTGACTACAGAATGGCCCAAATCAGGATTTGCCATTTTGTACAATGACTGTTTTCAGCCATTTTTCATATATCCCATCTTCTATTGGTCAGTAGGAACTGGAGCCTCAAGTTAACAAAAAGCTGTTCACAATTTAGTCTTTACTTAGCTTAAATATCCACAGGAATATTTAAATGTAGTGTTCTAGAAATAGCACTACTCCTTGTTTTCACTAGTGCTGCTTTTTTTTTAAATGAAAAATTGTGATCAGGAGCACACAACACCCCAGGAAAAAGAAAAACCATTACAAAGCGTGTGTTCTAACAGACTACGAACAACAGAGCTACTGTAAAGCCGCTGATGCCTTCACTGCATGGTTTCCACAGTCTGATAATCCAAATTAAATCAGTATGTCCATAGTTATGTCCACACAGGGCACAGCTATTTAACAGAGCCTGTTAATCCAGACGTTGAGCCATGATGTTAGATTATACCAATTCAGTGCAGAAAATTATCCATTTGAACAAACTGCAGCACAACATACCACTGTGGCAATACCACGAGATATGCAAAGACTGCTTATGGGAACCGTATTGCAACCCAGTGGTGCTATAGCTTTTTTAAAGAGGTCTTTAGGATTTTTAATTCCATTCATCTAAGTATGGGGAGGGTGGCATCATTTTTCAGGTATTAACTCCAATATTCAAGTTTGCTACTCTCAAGTTTTCTAATGAAGGTGCAATTATCTGGAGAGAAAATTCAAACTTGAAAGCGAAGGTTTTTTTCTTCAGATGAATCCTTCAGTATTTCAGGGTGAATGGACTGCAGGTAATGGCTGAAGAACTGCAAATGCATGCTTGCCTACCTCACTGTGGAGGATTTACACTTTAAGGAATTTAAGAGGAAGTTAACCCTAATTAAGAGAAAAAAGCCTTTGAGGCGCATATTCTCTGACAAACCCCTCTCTATCTTTTAAAAGCACACTAAATAAAAAGCTTAAGGAAACCTTTCCACGTATCTCAAGTTCGTCCTCTTCCACCAGATGGAAGGTGTTCCATGGTAACAAGTTTTGTTTTAGTTCCTCATGGTAACAAAGTATTACAAAAGACTTGTTTTGCAGAACTTTTCCAATTACTTACCACTGTTTCAGAGCAGGATAAAGTAATCAGAATGTAACAGCCAGCTTTCTCCAGCATTAAGGACTCGATATAAACTTCCTAGTGTTCTTATACTTGAGAATTAACTGGAGGATCATATATCGAGTATAGTTGCAGTAAAGATACTAGGATTAACAGGCTTAGTTAACAGCAGCTTTGCAGCAATAGTGGTGCAGCTGTAGAAAAAGTCATAGTAGTTGGATCAATTTAAAGGTTTCAGCCCAAACACATAAACCCCTTAAACTCACTTAAATCCTGGATTCAGAAAGGCACAATTGGCTCCATTTTGTTTAGAAAGCTTCATTTCAGACTCTCTAGCCTGCAAGCCTGACTTCAAAGCCAGGCACAAGGGTGCCTGAGCTAACTCAACGTGACAACCCCAGAATGATCCCTTGCAGCACAGGGGTGCCATCCTTCTCCAGTATTGACCTCCTGGCAGCAGGGCAAGGCAAGAGGCAACCCACAGTGAAGCTTCCACTGAAGGGCAGAGACTCAAGGTAAAAGATCAGCTTCCTCCTCTGGCTGGCCAAGTTTCTTGCAGTAGCTCCCTGACCCCTTCCCTAGAATACCCTGTATTTGGGAGAGAAGAGACATTGCCTTAATGACTGATCCATCTTACCACCAGCTCCTAAGCCTTTCATAGAATGGTTTGGGTTGGAAAGGACCTTAAGATCATCTAGTTCCAACCCCCTGCCATGGGCAGGGACACCTCACACTAAACCATGTCACGAAGGCAAGAGCAGCTCCCTCTACATTCTGGGCATGACCCATCTCACTGCATTAAGTGTGGAAGCCTGCACTTTCAAACATCCCAGCAAAAAATGACTATAGGCTCAGCTAGGAAAGAATTTGTTTTCCACTAAAACCACTTTTAAGACAACTGACACAAACAGATTAAACTGTATTTTAACATCTTCACCTGGAAATTGACCCTAAATGTGCACAAGCACTCAATGCTTTACTGTTACGCAAGTGCATTAGATTACACGCACACATACATATATACAATTACACATGTATAGATGTATTTTAAGAACATGACATTTTGAAGAAGCCATCTATCTTTCATCATAAGAGATTTACGTTCAGTTTGTGGCCCAGTCCTTGGAAAAAATTCTGAAAGAAGACAGCTAAGTGTGCACTTTCGAGAGGTAAAACAAGGCAGCAGGGCAAGCTGCCCATATAGAAAGGCAGCAGTCCTGCTTGCCCCCATGCCATTAATCCAATGTCAGCTTTGGCTTGCACATCCTGCAAATCAATTCAAACCTCTGAAAAGGCTAGGAAAGTATCCCAGCAAGGAGGATAGCTTTCCACTGAGATAAGAAAGAGGTCCTACAAGCCATAGAGTTCGGTGTTCCTGCTCCATTCCCTGGCATCATCAACATGTCTTGGAGCACTGCAATGAACCAGCCAGGAGGCTGACCCAGCCAAAAAGTAATCCCAAAGACAGGCTACCCTTTCAGCTGGATCAGCTCACCACCCAGCCACACAAGCACAAGTTCTTGTGTTAGGGACAGGCTTAAAAACACATGATCCGGGCCAGAACCAGCAAGCACAAGGAAGCAGGGGAAGCATTCCACTGCTGCAGAACTTCACTGATATAAAAAAGCCAGTCTCTTTCTTCAACTCTTGAAAAGTGAGGTTTGGACTTTCAGGAGTGACAGGCTACTCCAGGCTTCAGTGGATCAAGAGGCTGAAATGTATCCCAACTCACAGCTTGCCTTTTTTTTTTTTTTTTTTAGTATGAAAAACAATCTTTCCTCCAAAGCCACAGGAAGAGTTTAAATAAACATTTCTTCCTAAAATCCTTCAACTTTGGTTAACCAGATATTCTCCAGCCAGTTGACTCACGGCTTGATTTCCTCTCTCCTGCAACGCCCTTCAAATTCCATCTTTTCCCCTTTATTCACAACTACTCCTCCTCCTCAAGCCTCAACATCTCATGTCAGAGAGCTATCACTTTCAGAGCCTATTAAAGAAGAGTTACTAATACTACAGTATGAAAAAGTCCCACTAAGAAGTGTTACTACACCATATTACTTTTCAATGCTCTTAGAGCTCCATGTTCCTCATATTGCAGCTTGTCCTGACATTAATTCTCTGTTGACTGTTTCCTGTCTTTAAGAAAAGCACTGAAGCAAATTTCTTTTAATTTAGAGCCTGATTAGAGCTTGTTTTAAATTCATGCTGACATGCTGTCACCTCCCTAGGATAAATATATTGCTTCACAACTCAAGAACAGGGAAACCTCTGCTCCAGGAAAACTTCCTTATGCAGCAGGCTCACTGCATCAACCTTTGAGACAGACACTTCTGCTTTTAACTGCATCACATGCTCTTCTAATTGTTGCTGATATTACTTAGTAGCTGTCTTTAGTTGTAGTCTTCCCATTCCTGCATATGCACACACAGATTACCACTGATCTGCTCACCCACCACTCTTTTTCCATACAGGGGTCCAGATTAAAAAGCTCACTAAGCTAATACAACAAGTCAGTTCTTAAGCATGGTTCATTTTTCAGAACCTTCACACAAGCTGCCCAGTTAACACCTTCACGATAGCCTCTTAACCTGGATGGGCTGATAGCTTGACCAGGGCAAAACTGCGGACTAAGTTCAGTTGAGCTGCTTGTTCAAGTTACATAAGCATAGCCAGTACCACCCTCCTTCTACCTGTTCATCATGTATTAACCAGCTCACCCCAGTGGCAAGAGTGTCTAACATAAAAGCCAGAAGAAAACTGGGGAGGAATGAACAAAGAAAACCTAGTATGAAGCACCCAGGCACAAAAGCATTTATGCAATAGTAGCAGAGTGGTACTCAATGATACTCTGCTAGCTTCTACTCCAAGACCCAGTCCCTTCTTAGAGGATTTAGCCACACCAGTTAGATGATTAAGAGCCCTGGAGGTCAAAGGCAGTAGTTTAATTACTAACAGACAAGCTCTTGTCTATGACAGACTGGAGAAATTCAGAACACCAGTGAGGTATAATCCCTTCCTTCTTGCTCATTTTGGGGACACATGAAATGTTTCAGTATGGATCCTACCATTTAAAACAAATCTTGGAAGAAGCTATGGCTTGCAGGATTCTGTTTTAAGCTAAGAGTTTTAAATTAGCCATCCAGCCTCAGAAACTTGGTGTTTGCTGTTCTGATGTAACAAGTTAAACATCACAAGCTAAAGGGAGACATCAACAACAGTTTACTATCTATATTGCCACAATACTTATTATTTCATTCCACAGGTCCAAAGGCTCAAGAGAGAAGTTAGCTGCTTCTGTCCCCCTGAACAAGCTTACTTCCTCACCTACTAGAAAAAAACAGTGATGGGTGGACAACAGGTTTGTTTTGGGTTTTTAGTTGTTCTTGTTTGTATGATGTAAGTACCAGGAAAGTACACCCAATGCAGAAAGTAAGTTTACTTCCCTATCCATGGCATTCTACCAATGTTTAGTAAAAAAAAGAAATGTTATTAAGTTAAAATCACACTGCAGTGTTGAGCTTCAGAATTTTCAGCTCAAATCTAAAGTATCCAAGACTAACAAATCTAGAAAGCAGTAGTGTGAAGTAAAGCTTCCCCCATCCAAAGTCTCTTTATATAGGCAAAGCTACTGCTAATATCATAACAGTTAATACTAGGTATTACTCAGCCAAAGTAGCTATCTGCATGCATATCCCTGCAGGTCAGTTCCCTGTGTAAATTCCTTGTATAGTTTGAAGCACTGTGTTACTTTCCTTGTAGTCCTTTGCATTATAAAATGTAACTGAGGAAGAATGCGGTTAATAGGCAATTACAATATGCATCTGTGTGTGCAGAGTAATCTTTGTATGGAGATCGCTCCAGATCCTCTGCACAGGCAGGTTAGAAGTTTCACACTAATACAAAAATTAGTATTTTATATTTGGTGGCAACACTGGAGAGGTAACCAGAGTCATAGGTAGTTACAGTGCTAGATGCTGTGCAGGCATGAAAGATGGCTGAAAACAAGTCCCGATCACAAAAACAAAGCTAGGTTTGGCACTACTATATACAAGATCAGAACTTTCTTTAAAATGCTTCACACTCAAGTGCCTTTGTACAGAGCTTCATATTGTGATTTATATGACAGGATTACACTGCAAGAATGCAAAACTCGTGACAGCACTTTATTTTCAGCTCCACAGCCACTTCTGTAAGAGATCTGAGAGAACAGAAGGGGTGAGAAGACTGACAGCAGAAGCAGAGAGCTTTTTGCCTTGACACCTTGCCCTGTAACAGACAAGCTGCGGGGGGAAGAAGGAGGGGGAAATAAAGTACTCAAGTTGGGAGCATCTTACTTGAATAGCCTGTCGTCCTTGCTGAGCATCTGCCAGGAGCTGAATGGTGAGAGTCCTGGAATCCTGTAGGGCATCTTGGAGGTAGATAAAGCTGTGACCCACATGTCGTCCCATGGTACATTCCCGACATATGGGGACAGAACAGGTATCACAGTAGAAATGCAGTACCTACAAGAAAAAAGAACTGTATCACTGTCTAATGAAGAATTGAGGAGAAAACAGAGCCAGGGTGTATGAAAGGCCAACAGATCAACTATAAAAGGAGATAGAGGCAGTAGGCAAAGACTTTGTAATTCTCTCTCCACAGAGGAAGAGCTATCCTCCTCAGTAACCTCCAAATCATAGTCTAACAGTTAGATGGAAATGTCATTGTTTTCTTTGCAATACAATACTAGGAAGAGTGTCCACATCAGCTCCTCTTAAGAGCGGAAGCCATCTGCCAACACTTGCGAATTGGAGATGTCATCTATGGCAAGTTTCAGGTGAAGACTTTTCCTGCAAACACAAACACCACATTCTCTTAAGTGGGTCATTTAATAACCAGTGCAGTGGAGAACTGTAGCACCAGCACACTCACCCCACTGAAGGGGGAAAACAAATAATGCATGCCAAGAACCATCCTCTGTGTTTTCAAAATATGCAAATACCTTATGTTCAGTGCAATGACAGTATCAGGCAGACTCCCTCCTACCACTCCCAACAGCAAAGCAAAAAAAACCCTTTGCTATGACTTAGTGTTTCTATGCTAGTGATACTCAGGCGATGCTAGAGTTCGAAATCAAAACTGAAATATTTGCATGTCCATCAGAGCATTTGAATGCTACAGTGAACTGTGGGTAACCACTAAATCCCCATTCTAATCACAAAGCACTTAAAAACCCTATATTCAAATCACAATGGAAGTCTTGCACCAAGATGTTAGCCTAGGAAGTTAGATCCATTCATCAACCATAACCGTTCCCATTCCATCCAGAAGAGGGAAGTAGCACACAGAAATAGCATCTTCCATGGAAGTGTGTTTTCTTAAGAGGCAAGCTGAAACCAGCTGTTTTGTTTTCAAAGATGCAAGGAGTACCAGCACTTCAACACGAGAAAGTTTTGTATCCGAAGTCTTGCTCTTCACTACACACACTATTTTGGTTAGAGTGGAATGTTAGAAAACCATGGAAAAAATCAAAACTCCACTACACAATGGCAAACAAGCTTTCCTCCTACAGTTTTTTCCATCACTGGCTATTTGAAATCTACCTCACAGAAAGGAGCAAGAGCAGAACAAAGATGGGACAAGTGTTTGATATGCCCATCTTCTCACAGCTGTCATCCAGCCACTCCCAATTCCAGCTAACAGTTCGTGATATGATGCATAACATCCCCCTTTCCCTTCTCCCTCAAAAGCAAGGGGGAGGCCAGGACAGGTGATCTCCTCAGCTTGCCTGTGCTGCATAAAGTGACATGTTAAGCTCCTATGAGCGCAACAGCTGAAGTGGTACATGGATTAATTTCCCAAAGGGGTATGTGTGTGTTTGTGAACACATGGGGAAAAGGTCTAATAAAACTCACAAGTTATGTTTTGCTATAGGGAAACTGGAACAAACTTGGGTTTTGCTTCTGTTCAAATACTGAACCCTCAAGCATTGTTTAAGATCATCTATCTTTTGTGAGTAAAAAGCTGCCTTGGCTCTGAAATTCATTATTCATTATTCAAACGCATCATCTTCCACAGCTAGAGGGTTCCCTGTCTTTGCACTGCGGTTGTCTAAATCTGTATACAATGTTCACTTGCTCATGCAGTTCTGAAATTTTGCTGTTGAAATTACAGGGAATGTTTATTACATGTTGCTGAATGACTCCACTTAAACAACTGAGAAGTTAAGAGAGAATGAAAACCAAGACAGGGTATCAAGTTAAGTCATATGAATCTGATATACTTTAAAAACATACAGCAGGCATTTGGGGCCTCAATCAAGCAGAGCAGCTGAAAGGAAAATGGTGACCATACGAACAGAAGTCCAGAAGCAAGTTAAATCCAAAATAGTCAACACCAGAAGCAAAAGCTCAGTAAGACACCACAGATCAGTTGTGTCACCCAGGCACTCCTACAAGGTAACATCATCCAGTGGTAAAGGAGTTCAAACCTAAGAGAATTCAGTTGCCTCCTGCCACCCACCAACAATGTGGTGGAAAACATCACTCATGAATTTAGAATGAAGAGAGACAAGAGCCATAATCTCATTTCAGAAATATGCTGCTTACATAGGACATAGTGGGGGAAAGCCTCGGGTAAATACTATAGAGCCACTGATAAAGACTCATATTTGTTTCAGTAAACAAAATGATGCAGACAACCCAGATTTAAATCTGAGAGCAGAAGAATTAAACTTGGATGAAAAAAGTAGACAGCAATGGACTGATCATCCTCATTACACTATTACTCAAGACAGTTACCTTGAATGCACACAAGAAGCACAAATGCATAATCTCTACTGTTCTCAGTAAGGAAGGGAGCTAGCCACCAGACTAGAACTGAAAGAGTCAGCCAGCTTCAAGATGAACTAGCAGCTCCCCAAGAAACTCCTTTCTGGACACAAAGACTACAACAGAAACCCCAAACTTGGCAGAGGTACAAGGGCAATTTTCCTCCTCTGGTTGATCTTGCATACTCACTGTCAGGAGCACCCAACAGGCTGTACATCATCTCTACCCAGCAATGGGGCCACACTCCCAGAGAATTAAACTGGAAAGAGCCCAGCCGTGCAGGGTGCAACAGCAAGGGGGGGTTATTTGTGCCAGCCGGGCTAACAGAGCTTGGAGCACAGCATCCAGCTTGCCTGCGCTTGCAACCACAACCAGGCATTTATTGTTAAAGCTCAAGCCTGCTCACATCCCAGTCCCTAGGTCATGGCCACAAAGGTCACGTACTGCTAGATTAAGTTTCTATGCCTGTTTCTAAATAGAAGGGGGAGAAAATAAGCCAAATGCACCCCCCACCCCAGGCCACCAACAAGCAACCCCCCAAAAAAAATTCATACCAACAATGTAAGTAGGACAATACACAAGTGTTTTCAATTCAGATTTGATGCACTGTGTGCCTAAAAGCAGAGCATTTCAGTTGTGCTGTTAATACGGCAACATATTGCTCCTTCTGTGCTCATTTTATGACAAGTAACAAGGCTGGTCTTGAAATGTGCATGGGCAGAGGTAGTGGGAAGGAATAATAAAATACTATTTCTTTCATAATAGATCATCTTAAAACCACCGCACAGTACTTAAAAGAGAGTCCTGACACTCCCCCCTCCTCCCTCTTATCTGAAAAGGCAGAGATGATAGAGTCAAAAAGAGCCATCAAGCTGTAAATTAAACTATTTTACCATTTTCCCGAATGCACAAAAGATTGGTTTTAAGCAAAAACCAAACATGCTGTTTTTTCCAAACTACACAAACATTCTGACAGGCAGCAAGGAAAGAGAGAAGAAAGCTGACAGAGATTCCTCCTTTCAAAGGAAATTCAGAATTGTGTAACCTGCATTTAATGAATTGCTTCTTTCGGTAGTAATTAAGTAAAAATACAATTGTTTTAAAGTAAAAGCACCTTTTTTTTTTTTTTTTTTAAAGTAAAACCACTTTGTTTTGGAAGGGTTTTTGTGGGCTTTAGTTGGTTTTAATAAGAATAAAGTTGGATAGTTCTGGTTAGTTTTGTTGGTTGTTTTTTTGTTTGTTTGGTTGGGTTTTTTTAATACAAACATTTAAGATAAAAATTGATGCTTTTCCAACACCCATTTTGTTAAATATCTAGTCAGGGGAAAAAGACTCATAGGGTTTTTGCTGTGTGTGTGGTTAGTTTTGTGTGCGTTTTGTTTTGCTTTAAAGAACTGCTTCACCACATTAATTAGTATTTTAGACTTTCCATCCAAATTAAATGAAAAGAGGAGTCAGAAGCAAGAAGGGAATTTAGTTTTAGAGATAGTTAAAAGTGATTTATTTTAAAATAAATCAGCTATGAGTTGATTATTTCCCAAACAGGAAATATTTCCTGAATTGGTGGCACACAATTTTAGACACAAAACAATAAAGGGAGCCTACTTCAATTTAAACAGAATCAGTGAACCATATTACAGGGCTATTCATCTTTTACAGCCACAGCAGCCCAAGAAATACAACAGCAAGGCCATAAATGTGATTGCTTCAGGAAAGGCTGTACAGTGCACCGTAAAAACATTTTACAACAGCAGGAA